ACTCATGCTGGAGAATCAGCACTAAATTGTAGGAGAATTTTGATCAAATTTAATGATTAAAAACTCGCCGTTCTTTTACTGAAGTCTTCATTCTAATCAAAATATGTTAAATTTTCTCGATATCTTCATTCCTTCTAAATTCTTACTTATTTTCGATTCAAAGAATCATATTATATCAAGTCTTCGATGGAATATAAACACAGAAGATTTTCTGGAACTGACAGCAAAGCCCTGGCGTTGTTCTTGGCCTTCTCGAGTATGTCCTTGAAGGCGGGCGACCTGTGGCTGATCTCCAGCACACCCACCCCTGTCGTGCCGTAGCTCATCACATCCTCTGACACTTTCTTCAGTACCTGCAACACAACAACACAAATTCTCTTCAGCACCTGCAACACAACAACACAAATTCTCTTCAGCACCTGCAACACAACAACACAAATTCTCTTCAGCACCTGTAACACCACAACACAAATTCTCTTCAGCACCTGCAACACCACAACACAAATTCTCTTCAGTACATGCAACACCACACAATAAATTCTCTTCAACACCTGCAACGCCACAACACAAATTCTCTTCAGCACCTGCAACGCCACAACACAAATTCTCATCAGCACCTACAACACACGTCACCACAAACTCTCACTCAACCCGTCTTTGAATTCCAAGATTTCCTCTATTGTAAATGTTCTATCGTGTGATAAATACGTTATTCGTAGATTAAAACCCGCAGTGCGAGAGCAAAATACAACCTGTAATGTTGATTTTAAGTAACAAGCAATATTCTTACTAAACACTGACTTTATAAAGGCGAATTCAATATTTATTTAATTTTGGAAGGTTGCCGCTTAGCGTCAAATCAATCTATCTAATCTAAACAAAATCAATATATTGGGTAATCATTTCAGCCGCTTCAAAAATACACTATCCGAAATAGTTTTTAATGCTTATTTAAATTTCTACAGGGGTTGAAACCCTCTCAAGTAGCAACTTGGATGCACTTGCCATGCACGGGTTGAGGTTGAGCCTGTTTACTTAGTCAGACGTGACCATCGTGCAACATGACCTTGAATGCTAGTTGCCGCAGCGATGCAGCAGCCGCAGCTATCCAATGCGGCGGCTGCATGGATCTCGCTTCATAGCGAGGCAAGTTGGCTATTGGTTATAACCGTTATATGGTTCAAACCTTACCATGCATCACACGTTGATAGACTGAGGTAAGAGATTGAACTGCGGTTACTAAAGTGATTTTATTCTCCTCGTTGATGACCTATAATGAAATGGTTCAAATGTTACAACAAAGTTATTGACGAATGACGAATAGTACTTCATTCGATCAATTCTATCATTTCTATGAACAAGTTGTGTATCGAGATAGCAAGTAAACGTATTAGTAACAGTTATACTGGAAGCACCGCACAACTTTAATATACCGTAACGCATTAAATTTAATATCACCACGAATACGAAAATTTATTGCTGAAATGTGATATTATTTGCATTACAGCTTACATGCCATGACAGCGTGCGCCGTGCGGTATGAATTTAGGGAAGGCTGCTCAGCCCATGAGAGCGGTGAGTGGCGTGTGACAAGTCTTGTTGCTTGTTAATCTTTACTGCATCGTGAAACAGTTCTTGCGTAAACTTTAGATCTCGTACATAATAACTAACAACTGTGCAGCACATAGCCATAAGGCGTACCGCAGTTAAGAAACACGGCGACGGCTGATGTCAACGAGGAAGGCCCGATACCGGTACTTCTAATACAGCTAAAGTTATTAACACGTCACAGATTAACTATCATTACATGAATTAGGAGACCAAAGGTGCAATTAACTCGCGTTTAATGCATAAAAATCTACAAAAATGAACGATTATATTAGTTTAAAAAACCTTTCACAACCACATGCATAATTAAGTGGATTAACAAAGTTTCAAGTTTCTGATCTACGAAAAAGTTTTTTTACATGAAAACAAGAGCAAAATGAGCGAATCAAAGAGTTCTAATTTCCTACAAACAAACTCTTAGCGGATAATAGCTTTTGAATACAGTGTTCCGAAATCCGACATAATGGCGAAAAAATATGAATTACGTTTAGTAAAATTTCGATTTCTAACAAACATATAAATTCACGTTTAATCGTTTAAATACTACCTTCATATGACCTAAGTTGTCATAGAAACAATTGCAAATCTTTTTTCAATTAACTGGGTCATCATTATCACTCGACACGGAATAAACCCACCCTAAACCTAAAGGAAAACGTAATTTACTGTAGTAGCTATCGTGACATTTTTTATCACTATTTGGTCATATATAAAGTAACTACGTGGCCCCGGCCGTACAGTAAACGTGCGTTTCAACTTTCAACAAACTTAGGTTTTTGTCTGGAATAAGCCGGCTTACCTCGTCGGGTATTTTTGATGGTCCACCAGCGAAGTAGCTTACAGGCATAGCTGTGTGATAAAATTTAACACCACAAACAAATAGGGAACATACACGTGATCAGAAACACAGAGCTCTGGGCGGCACAACCACTCTCCTCGGCGTTCCGTTTCGTATGCCAGTCGCGGCCTGGCCGCAGGCATCGGGCTACAGAATGCAGACTTACGAAACGAGCCAGAAAGTAGAGAATGTTTTCCCAATTTGCCTATCACTATTCAACAACAGAACAATAAATTTCATTTTTACTGATAAAAATTCTTCGATCTTTCGATGAAATATTATTTGCCAATCAATAAATAAATTAAGCAAAAACCAAATTTCCACCAAATGGATGTCTGGAACTACAAGAAATTTCTCGTTAGAAGGCAACACTGCTCCAATGTTTCAGAGCCACAAGACGTCGGTACGCTGCCAGAGAATGAGGTGAAAAAGGTGGCTCAACCGGTTCTGCTACTGCATTTCCCGTTGACCGAGAAGCACTCGCGAACATCGAAAAGTTTAATCGGAGATTAATGTGTTGATAAACTATTGAGTGTAGCTACCTGAGGTCGTTTGTACGCAACAGATAACATTTTAAAGTTGTCGTACGTGGCGGCAACTATCAGTGCAACTCATTTTGCACTCGCTAGAACGGAATTCAACGGTACTTTTTTGGAAGTAGGCGTGTGACAATATTGCTCCGGTTACTCATGTCAGGAGTGCCGATTACTAGTAAATCTGGCTAGTGACGGTCGCTTGGTGACTATCCGGCAAGTAACCCTGTACACACGAGGAGAGTAGAAGGTGTCGCTATCTTCTCGTTCGCGCCCGCCAGTGCGTCGTTAGAAGCCGTCGAGTGAGGTCTGTGAAGATGGATAGTGTGATCACTTTCAACAACTCGAGTCTGTACTGCTTTTTTTATACTCTATATTCTAGCCCTTAAAAATACAGCGCCGGGAACAACTAAACCCTAACTAATAAGGTCTTCTTTCCATTTCAGAATACTCGTTTCTCTCTTCATTTTGTTGGAGTAATCATCATGGCAAACATTATACTTTATTTCATATTTTTGGAATATTTCAAAGAATAATTGAATATCGTCTGGAATCCACTTTGTTTGATTCCTCTTAGAAACATTGTCGTTCAAACAAGCCATGATTCACTTGAGCCAAAATACTTCACAGGAGCGGCACAGAACCTCTCACCATGGCTGCATCAGCGCTACTAGCCACTTCTCCAAGACTCCAGCCAAGATCAATACATCGTTGTCCTTCTCGGCCGCGTCTCGGGCACTTGCCGGCGCATGCCTCTGAAGCGGCTGAACCCCTATACATGAGGCTAGTAGCGTGGACAGTTCAAGCGGCGGATGAACTAGCGGCTAGTACTATCCCTGTGTACAGGCACCTTATACTATTTTAGAAAAAAAACGCACTATTGTGCTCGCCATGTCCGTCCGTCCGTGACTTCACGTTTCCGACGACGAGAAAATGCGCTCTCTGTCACTCACTGCAGTGAGTACTGAGTTATATTTTTTTGTAAAATTTGTGTACTTGACTGGCGTTACAAATATATAAGGGTTGTTAGGGTGCGTATCCAGGATACTTATAATAATAATAATAATAGCGGTTTCAGCGTTTAGTAGGCCGTAGGCCTGTCGCCGATTCTGAAACGTCGCAGAATATTCACAGCATTTTGAGGTCTCGAACTCTCAACTCACTGCTACAATTCTGCTGGGCTTGACCACCCGGCCTCCTTGCCGATTCTGACCAGAAACTGGCGCACAGAGCTTGGATCGAACCCGCGCCTCTCTGCGCCGGGACGCCTGTCGGAGACTTCCACTGCCGTGCTTCGAATGGACTATCATGATCCCTTCCCTGAAAAACGTAGCCTACAACACATCTCGACTGTAACGTTATCAGCCGCATGCCACCAGACAGATCACATCCATTGAATTAGATCAATCAGCCCACAGGAAAATAAGCCTGGCGTCGTATGGCCCAGCGTCGTCTGCCAACACGCGAAAAATTTTTACACCACCCGGACGGAGCGCGCCGGAGTTGTCCGTATATGCTTGCAAAATTTGCTCCTTTAAGCAGGTTTCATTGAAGACCAGAGAATTCGATTTATTGACAATTTTCTTATTAGTTTTTTCAATAGATCGAACAATATTTTTATTTTGCACGGGTAAATCGAAAATCAGATTACCGAAGGTCATTTTTATTTCTTTAACGGCGTTTCGAATGTTTCTATCATTCATTATCAAGTTAAAAGGGGCATTGAGTGATGGAATTTGGCTCGACATAAGTACAAAATCAAGTAAATAGGATACTACTCAAAAATCAAAAATGTCAGGAATAATTACAAAATCACAAAAATAATTAAAATTAAAAATGAGAGCACCGAAAATCACTCCGAAAACTGTCTCAATGTTCTGACAAATCCAGTAGTTTGAAGGTTGATGGCTGGGGTCCTTTCTTTCTATGTTTTTCTATAAATGAGAAAATGCGCTAAAAAATTATTAGATAATTGGGCGGTACTAAGTAACCCAGGAATTAAATTAGAATAAAACGCGGAAAAATTAAAAATACTTTATTGCAGCAGATGCAGTCATGGTAAATATCTAACACCTAATCTAAAAAAATCTACTTCATCACAGTCTCGCAGAATGAATTGAATAGCCAAGATGGAATCATGTTTAACCGAATGTAAATTAAACTGACTTCAACTAAAAAAAGGTAAGAAAATAGAAGTTAATGCTTGAAAAATACTATAAAATTGGAAATAATTCCAAGGAGAACATAAATAAAATACAAGGAATTATCTGGAATGACCTTCTTTCTGCGTTTTTCAAGCCACAAACGACATGTAAATTGCGAGTTTGCCTGATAACCATAATGAAAAAGACTTATTATTTCTCGACACAGAGCTTCTTCAAGTAACTAACTTCAAGCTTCTTCAAGTAACTTGACCAGCGGCAAGTGATAAGGACAGACAAGTACATAAACAAGAAGAATGCTCTTCACTTTCAACAAAGAAAATCCAACTGCTCCCCTGAAGGTACGTCTTTTCTGTTTTTCCTTAGTGAAAGATTTTTGTTCATCTGGAATATGCCTCTTCCCCCGAAGGTGCATCTTTCGTGTTTTTACTTGATGAAAGATTTTTGTGCATCTGGAATATGTTCTTTCATTCAGGATCTGAAAGATTCTCCATCTCTTGACAGAGCCACGGCAGGAATGACACCACAGCGTCGTCGTCTTGAGCATCACACAGGCTTTGCACCAACGAAGACAGCTCCTGCAGCACCACCTATGGAGATCCCACTCGGGTGAACAGACATTAACAATAACCTGTTGTGGACTACCTTGATGTTACCGCTATTTTTATAGTCAGTTATTGTTATTTGAAGCGAATGTTATAGTCATTCGTATACAGGCGTATTGTTACTGATAATCGTTGTTATTGTAATCTTATTTGGTTCTGTACACTGACCGGTAACCAGGAATGCTGCAGCAGGGCTACAGCTTTATCGTGCAGCATTTCACGCTGCAGCAAACTGGCATCAACGCAAGCATGCAGCAGCTGCTGTAGACCTTTACTGCTGCACACCTCACCACTTCTGGACCGCAACTCTGCATATAAAAAAGCAAGTTAATGCACTCAACACATGAACAATAGTTCCAAGTCTAAAGAATATTAAACGAAAATTTTATTTAAATGTAGACAATAGTTTTAAAGCTCGTACAGACGTTCACTTCAGTAGCCTCGTCAGTAGTACGCAGGTCATAGGTTCCGACTGACTTCCCATTTTTGTGAGAAAGTCGGTACTTACATATATAAAATTCAGAAATTCTTCAGCTATGCATACAGCATTTGCCAAAAAACATGGGCGACAGTTATCATGCAATCTCGAAGAAATCTCCAGCTATAAACAAATAAAAAAGGCTAACCTAGCCAGAATTTCAACAAATACCCAAGATGAATTAATTGCTTGGATCATCCGTCCATGATTCGGTCAGATGTACAGAACTCTGATGCCAACTCTTAAGGAGAATTTATGGATCTCACGAGCAAGGTGGCTCCATTAGACACTCAATAATTAGTTGTTATTCAATTAAGGTTTATTATTTAGTTGTCATTTATGACAACTTAAGTTATTTTATTTGTCACTCATTAAATAGTTCACCAATGAGGTGCAGAACTCGTGGGGCCAGGACGGTGGTTGGGAGGGATGGGGGGCTTTCAAGAGGAGCGTCAGGTCCCCACAAGGCGATGTAGTCGTCCAGTACAGAGGGCGTCACGAGATCAGGGTACGCGGCACCTGATGGTAATAGAGAGTTACTTCTTCAGCTCATGAGATAAGAGCGTTCTCAAACAAAGACAGAGATACTACTCTAGTTACTGCCCTAATAGCGCGAGGCGGCTGTACACTGACTAATAGAGTTTCTTGTTCAGTTCATAAGGTAATAGCGTAAGGCAATGGCTAAAAAACTAATTCAGTTACTAGCTGTGCTCATGAGATTATAGTGTAGGCGATTGTTCACAAAGACACAAACTAAACCCATCTGTTGCATCGAAGTTGTAACCTAACACCAGTGTACGGTTACATCTTCAACAAATGTATATAAAAATGTATGGCACGGAGCGTGACCGCTTAAGACAACCCACATGCAGTAGTGATGATGTCCACCGAGAGCGTTTTGAACCCGCGCAGAAGAGGTGAGGTGATGTCTGCTCTTCTCGTCACGCAGTCGCGCAGCGCTACAGCGAGCACCCTCAGTTGCTCGGCGGTCACGGGGAGGGGAGGTGCAACGTTCGAGAGCTCCCTCAACACGCCATTGTGAGTCCTGACTGGGAGATCAACAGCACTCTCCTGGCAGGAGGTGGTCGTAGAATATGGCTGCCGCAGGTAAGATTTGAATTGAGGCAAGCCGGGTATCGTTAACGAATTCAGTAGAGCTTTTGCAAGAGCCTGAAAAAAAAAGAAAGCAAATAAAGGAAAAAACAATACCTTATAGGGAAATAAAATACAACAAAATAAAGTACAAAAAATTAAACATATCAGCAAAAACTGACCTTCATTTCAATCTTGAGAAGAGAAGGAACCGGGGCATCTTTGTCGTGCATTTCTTTCCCACATGAAACATGAGCAAAGGCAGCTTTATCTTCGGCAAAGACGTTAGTTGCCGAAATGTTTGCCAGGTCCAGCGTGTAATCCAAGAGTCCACTAGAGTTAAAATCGACGTCCTTCAAAAATCTATTCTGGCGATTAGAACTCTTTGCGGCGTTTTCTTCATGCGAAATAATGAAATTCGAATTAGATAGCACAGGGCTTTGGCTTTTGTCAGCAACACATTCGTTAGCTGGAGAAAACAGCCCACAACTTGAATTGTCTTTTATTTCTGTAGAATTAAATTTCGTGCGAGCGTTAAATAGGGTACCACAAGAAATGGGTATGCTTGGAGCTAGAGCCGCACCGGTTGATGAGCTTGACTGGTTGGCAGCAACGACAGTAGTACATGACGAAACAGAATTAGAAGAAGATAATGTGGAGACACAATAAGATGAACTAGTACAAGAAGAATAAGCATACGCAATAGCAGGTACAATAGAAGATGAAATCATGAACGAAAAAGAGCCAGAAGTACCCGTGTTAGAAATGGGAGCAGAATGTAAATTACTACAGAGGTCAGTAGGAGACTTCCCGACAAGGACTGAAGAAATTGATGCTGAAATGTTGGCGTCGGTAGACGCGGCTTTTGCAAGAGTGAGATTGTTAGGAAAATCTAGATCAGTAGTAGCTGAGGTGATTATTTTGCGGCAATTCACTGGAGATTGAATTGGCTGACTTCCATCAATAGAGTTGACGTTAGCAGTAATAGTGGCGACAGTCTGAGAGACATCAAACGCAGGGACGGTCACAACACCCATGGCAGGAGAAGCGATCTCGCAAGTTGCGGCCTCTAGAAAACTTGTCAGACTCCAATTCGGCGTCACGTTTAGATCCTGAGAAAAATTAAGGATCAATTTTACAATTAATAATACTAGAAGTAACTGATCCTAAAGCAGAATTAATCCCATTCTAAAATTCGTACATGTAGGTATATGGTATAATTAAGGAATGTTTTGCGCGTTTTTACTCAAGAGAGACATTCAAAAGGCACGGAAATAATAGAATATAATAGAAAAGCAATCATTTTTACAAAGAAAGCATACGGTATCAGCCACATTTAACGATCACCAGTCTTTCAAACGTAAAAAATCACCGACAAATTCGGATAAAAGGCTTAATAACATCAAGCTTGGCATGCATAAATTGGAACGGTCAACTGACCAGTTTAGTGAGAACCCTCCTGAGAGTGGTGCGTGTGACAGGGGAGAAGAGGGATGGAGGAGTGGTCGGGACCAAGTCATTTCTGAGCCAAGCAGTCACCCGCTCACTGCAGCTGCGCACCACCACCCCACAGCACACCGCAACCGCCTGCTGGAGGAACATGTATTGCAGGAGGGAATTTATATAATGAGTGCACCATCAAAAAGGATAAGTGCACCGCTATTTGGAATAAGAGGAGAGGTAATATAAATAAGACGCGGCGGAATAAAGGCGGACCAAAAGTACAAGTTGTTACTGAGAGATAACCAGTCCGGGCGACGAATTGACAGGGATGCTTCTGAGAGCAAAGCTTTGGCTCAATTACACCTGAGAAGGATAACTAGATTTTAATTATATTTAAGACCTTGCACCTGATAAGAGTTAGATGAACGCAATAAATGGAGAATGAATAATTTTTCCTTGTAATATTTTTGAGTTAATTTACAAACCACAGATAACCGAGGGCAGCAGTTGATTTGGTCCAAACATTGCTTAAATTGGAAGTAAATATTATTGTACAGAGTAAAAAAATCTAGCAATATAGAGAAATTTTCGGAGGCCAATATAAGAACAGGACCTTATCCGAGATATCACTAGGTAGCAGCATGCGTAGCAGCTGTTGTTGCTGGTGCAGTTGTTGTTGCAGGTGTTGCACACACTGCTGGGCAACTTGGCCACGCAAACTTGTCAGCGCCTGTAGCAGCTCTCTTTTGGCCACGGCCTCCACCTCGTCCGTTGAGCTGAACTTTGCACAATCTTGAATTGAGATTTCGGGTTCCAGGGCTGAAGATTCGTGCAAACCAAACTCCGAGTCAAAACGATCTTGAAGCTGCGCATGGAATAAATAGTGCTGATGCAAACCTGGAGCAAGAACATTGTAAGGGTCCACTAAAACAAACGGGTGTACTCTTATTACAGGAACACGATAAAAAACGGAAGATCTGTCATACAATTATTACTCTAACAAATACAATGGGCACAATGCATATGATGAGGAAACTTATGCAACTACTATTTCTACTAACTATCCTTTTTATCATGCATCAGAATACTATCCATACTAAGTACAAGGACTGACATCACGAGTGGCGAAGGCAACGGCAGCTGGTAAGAGGGTTGTACGAAGGTGGCGCAGGCAGTTGGTTGTCAGGTGGTCAATTACGAATGTAACACATTCTCGAACGCAAGCTGGCTGCTGGTGAAAGAAACTTTCCTCCAGCTGGTTCTGGAAACAAAAGGCGAAGGTCACACTAAATACTTTTCGAAATACGCCGGCATTTAGTAAAAAAAAATCTTCTAACTGGTTTTAGAAACTGAAAAAACGTCACGCTAGATATCATCGGAAACTAGCAGGCTGTTGCAAGAAACTACTTTCTATCTAATTTCGGAAACAAGATGCAACCGGCGCCACAAAATTCCGTTGAGATTGCCCTCTGAACAGAAGGTAGACTAATATAGAATAAGTCTAACCTCCAAGTCCCATTGGAGAACTCGCTTACCAGTATTCAAAATAAATCCAAAAATAAATTTCGTTTCTTTTCATTTGTGCAAATATTTCAAGGTACGTTCAGAAACTATTTTCAAGACATCCATCAATTAGGTCTGATACTTCGTGAGAATACGATTAGAGTCCACATAATTCGTAAGAAACGCGCGCGAAATTTGTCTTAAAATTTTTAGATCGCAAAATAGGATTTTCCCAGTACAAGTTTGAGCTTTTAACTTTTGAATCGTTATACTTCAACTACATTAATCGTTATAATCAACTACATTCCTCCTCACCAAATGTTTTAATGTTAAAAAATTGAAAATTCTTTACGGTGATACAGAAAGAAAAGTACAGCTAGCAGTGGTAAGTTCCGGCACCTGAAGACTATGTTGGCTGAGGTCTTGTTTGTTCGAGGGCTTCTTTCCTTCACTGGCGCTGCCGTCCGTAGTCGCGGAGGGTGAGTCCGGCTGCCTGCGGTGAGGCAGAGCAGAAAGAGGTGCGATTTTGCGGACGCTGCCGTGCGAGGCTCGGTCTCCGGAACCGTCCAACGCATTTCTGAGCATCCCTTGGAGCGGCGCGAGCTGAGGACACCACTCCTTCAGCAGCTGAGTTGAAATATGATAGAGTTACTAACATTAAGCGAGACTCGGGGTCAAGAAAAACACATAGAAGTGATAATAGCACTGAGAAGCCCAGCACTCCTAGAACAACTGAGTTCAAACAAGGTAAAGTTACAAACAATGCACGATATTCAGGGGTAAGAAAAATATGTTGAGGTAATACAGGCATGGAGATAACTTTCAACAGAATAATACGTTGAATTTAGATAAAAGAACACCCAGACTGATGGGTTGTTTGAGAAGTTGTAACAGTTTAAAAGCAATGAGGCTATTATGAGTAAGCAGTGGAAATGACAATCAAAATACATACAACGACGAAGATTTGAGAACAAAAATAGGTACATAACTAATCAGGAGCGTTTAGAACAAAATAATAATCAATATACACAACCAAATTACGAAACAATAATAAATATTTTCTTATAAGAGATTGAAGCAAGGATTCATCAACTCCACTCACATGAGAATCAACACGAATGTGTTCATCGAATCTGTGTGGGGCAGGAGGGGGAGAAGGAGGACACACCCCCTCAACCAGCTCCTCCCCCCGGTGAGGGGTGTCCGTCAGCGTCATGGTCACATCAGGTGACGTTACTGCCGTAACGTTGTCACGCGTTCTGCACTTCAGCGGCGTCACAAAACTGCAATACATTGTACCATGTTTAAATTAGAATAATAGTAAAAACCAACGTATGATGCGTCACAAACTGCCATAAAATTTATATAATGTGACGCCATCTAATCTGACGAAATCAGTTAATCTAATTCTAATTAAGTTAATTTGTTAATCTAATCAAAATCATAATAGTTGAAGTGTAAACAAAAGTAAATATGCCAAGTCACATAACTGATATCGAATGTAGCAGGAGTGAAAGTTCAATAAACGGAAAAACCGTATAGAACATACTATTATAAATAAGGTAATCATTAATGAAATGATGGTACACTTTGAGTTAGAACTTGTACATGCTCAGAACTCACCACCGAGGAGGTTCTGTAACGCTGTTCACTCGGGTGTTAATGGATGAGGTGGCATCAGCATCTCCATACACCGGGTAGCAATCCTCCTCTTGCTTAGTAATATTACACGCTGACGCGAATTGTGATGAAACAGGGGAATTTATGTCATGACACAAGACAGCATATTTTGAATCGTATTTGAGTGGAATGTTACTGTTGGAATGGTCTTGATTGCATAGGTGATGTGAATTCGCATCATTTATTGGCATTACGTTTGTACCGTTGGAACAATGTTCATCAGAACAAATAATTCTATTTTCCACGCCCTCAGCAGTGTTATACGTCACAGAACGGTTCCTAGAAGGAACATCGCAGGTATTGTGTCTCAAATGCATTTCTGATTGGAAATTTGACTCGGAGCGTTGACAGTTCAAACTCCCACATTTGTTCAAATTAGTGCATTTACATTTACTGTCTTGTACTGACTGATAAATATGCTGCACGTGAGGATCTGCCCGTAATACAGATTTATTTGGAGATACGGGACGTTGATGGTTGAGTATCTGGGGTACGGATTGCGGGTTTTTATGGTTTGAAATCTTTTTCTTGCTTGGAGTTTTTGAAAAGTTTGATGGCCGCTCTTGATTGCGCGTAGACTCTGGAGAAGAAGAGAAAAATTTGAATCCGTAACGGAACTTATTCAAGAGTAGATACAAGCAAATTCTTACTGGTGGCTTTAAATTTCGTGCCTGATACTGAAAAATACTAATCATGAAAATTATTTAACAAAATGTTTTCCCACAAATTGCAGACGGCTAGGTAAAAAAATAATAAAATTCATATTCATACGTAAAATTCAAAAATTCATACGTAAAAAAATTCAGGCTACAAGTTTTAAGTTAAACCCAACATGAAGGAAAATCTCTGGTAATGCAATGTGAACATTTCCGGGCCCAAATAAAAAAAGGAATAAAGAAAATGAAGATAAATACACCCAATGAACATCAGCGGCCTAACCGTGAACATGAAAGTTTGAGGAAAGATGCGAGGCGCAACGAAGGCTGCACGGAGATGTGTAGTGCTCATTTATTACTGCAACCGTCATCTTGTACTCCTGGAATAATCAAATACGTCTTAAAACTCTGACATTCATTAATAAAAGGTTAATTTGCATTTTAAATAAATATCGTCAAAGTTTTTATGAAGTTTTGGCTATAAGTAACGCATTTCTTATATTAATAAGAAATTTCCTGGTAAATGGGAATTTTTATACATAAATGAGAGTATAATTCTGAATATTTTCATATTGTTGTATAAAGATTTCTTTGTTGGAGCTGAAAATTTAGCAAAAATTTTACAACTTGCCTTGCACTGATTTATTAGTTAATTTATGGATTTTTATTGTGATAGGAAAATTTCTCTGAAACCCGACAACTAACCTTGATGTCTATGCTAGTGTTAGGCAGCTCGGCGTAGAAGAGACCATCTGGGAACACAGGCAGATCAAAAAGCCACCCCAACAGCAGCCGCAGAAACAAGCTGACTTCTCCTGAAAACGACGATTTTGTTCTTGCAGAACCTGGCATGTGATGGTGATGATGACAGCTCTGACTGAAATAAATCTCATTGCAATTTATAGGATTGCGTGTGCTGAAGACATCTTCTCGATCTTGAACATTTTCTTGTGGCATGTGTTGACAAACGCTTGAAAAGTGCGAATCCAAACTTTTTGAACAAGATGATTCTTCTCTGCCTTTCATTTGGATAGAATTCACTCCGTGATGAGAAATTTTAAAATCATGACCACTTGTTGCGATTGCATTATTGCTATTTTCAAAAGAATTGCTGCAATTTTCGGTAGAAGGAATTGAGTCCTCACAAAGAAAATTTTTCTCAAGATTTGACGTGCGGTCATCGTTAGAATTCATTTCAGTCCTAGAACCAATCATGGCAACTCCATTACAACCACACTTAAAAGACTTATCATCTGAAAAAGCATCGTCAGAACTAAAATTCAAAATACGACGTTTACTACCAATGATTTCAGACTGACGCTCTAATTTTGTAGTTTCTTTCCCCAGACTAACATCAGACTCGTCTTCAGCAATGATTGCAATATCACTGCTATACAGGCTTCTCCTACCGTGGCGGCGTTCAAGTACAGAACACTGATTTTCAGTTAATTCACGGGACGGCTTTGTGCTCTTTTCCTGCGATTCAAGTATTATTTCTTTGCATGTGCATGCACAGAGAGCAAGTTTGTACACGTGCATAAGAGCAAATACAGCTGTCTGCAGATGAGTGGTGTGAAGAGCAGCTACGTCAGAAACACTGAGCAGTTGTACACAAAGCAACACAGCCGCAACCAAGCATCCCTGCCTTGCACAGCTACGTAGCACTGAGCAAAGCGGCAGTCTAAGATGCACTTTGCTTCTGAGCGTGACTTGGTGCGCAAGGGCAAGCTGTGGCAAAGTCAGAGGCGAACAGTAAGGAGCAAACCACAGTAATCCCAAGAATTTTCCCAACACGCCAACCTGCCGTAATAAAAGAGATGATTGGCTGGACGAAGGAGATTCCCGTCGGTTGCTTGTAAGGCACAGGAGGTCACTGATTTTAGCTATCAGATGTTCTTCCAAAAGAGCACTGAAAGATGGCGATGCGCCTTCCATAATGAAGTCTTTGAAGAACTGTTGCACTCCCGGGAAAGAAGGGGCAGGGTTAACGGAAGAAGTCGTTGAAGACGGAGTTACGAGACGTTCTTGCAAGCGTTCAAATTTTTCTGGTTGACGGCGCTTGAGTGCGGAGAGAACATCGCCATCGTCGGGTTGTTTGAGTTCCTTTTGACCAGACTCACATGCACATAACAACTGCGCGACAAATAATCTTGCCAAATGGGCCGTGTTGCAAGGGTCTGGTCCCAACTGTAGCAGTGATCGAATGGCATCCCCGAGGCAGTAAGAGAATGACCAGTCAGGAGACTCGTGCTCACACTCCCACTCTCGAAGCAACTCGTAGAAGATGTCTCGTTGCTTCTTGAAGACATGGAAAGTGGTGTTGTCGGGAAAACTGGAACGGTTGTCGATCTCAATTTGAAAAGGAACACCTTTCATGGGAGATCGAGGGGTCTGCTTTGGAGAAAGATGGGTTGGTAAGCTATGAGCCAATTTATTGAGATCTTCTTGCAGAGATGGGCAAAAAAGTTGTACTCTACTGTTTTCGGCCAGCAAGCGCAAGATGGAGCGATCAAGCAACTTAATCAGATGCCTGGATCTCAACAGAACCGAAATGGCAAAATAAACGCAGTTGTGTGCACTGTACAGAAGGTCGGGTAGACCAGACTTGTACTGAGGTTCTACTTGGCCGTCGTCAAGCCAAGTCTTGACGGTCAAAAGCTGGAACACAAAGTGGAGTTCAGATGCTAAGCTCGGGGTCAAGTTATAGAGCAAAAGTTTAGAGTAAAGGTCAGCGCAGATATCAATACTTCTTCTATTGGTCACCATGGAAGGAGAACAATCAATTTGTTCTGTGTTCTTTGAAAAAGTTTTCGATACGGAGGTAGTGCCAGAAAAAATTAAAGACTCTTGATTAATCCCCACGTTCGTAGCATGATCATTTCCGACTGGTCTTTCCTTCTCACTTATTGAATCAGAATTGTTGAGTGAACTGTCAGATAGACTTTCTTTCGTGCACCGAACCCTTTTTACAATGCATTGTCTAGATGAAGGGTCAGAAGCTCCTTGAGTGTACTCAGAAAGTGCAGTTACACATTTGCTGTCAGCCGTTTTTGGCACTACGCGAGACTCATCACAACACCGTTCACCAGGGGCTTGGTCGCCAGATGGGACCTGAGAACCTCGAGCTTCTTCACCTATGCACGACGGTTCTCCAACAATATTTGTGTCTACATGTTTGGTTCTCTTCATTTCATCTTTGAGACGCTTCAACATCATTCTCTCTTCTTGCAGTCCACATGCCTTACCCAATTTTATTTCGACAGCTAAAGCCTTCTCTTCAAGCATAGGCGTGGCGCCTTCGGTCGTTTTCACCCCAGTATTACAGTTTCCACCATTCCCAACGTCTTCTGTTGGGACTTTAACTCGAGTAGGTTTTATCCTCTTCTTCTTGTGTCTGTCCAGCTTGTTGACAACGCGAGGTGAAGCTTGCGCACCGTTTGATGGTCGCCCAAGCGATGGAAAAGATGACGAGTCTGATATGTCTAGTTTTGTCTGAACACTTTGCCTAGTCCATGTGTTACAATCTGCAGCTCCAATGAAGTCAAAGCTAGTGCAGGCGCCAGTATACCTTCTCCGAGCAGTTTTTTTGTCTATACTTCCACCCATAAAATCCTGTAAGGTATTTCTAAACCCTGAATGTTTCTCATAAGTTCTTTCTTGATTATTCTTTTTCCATAGATTATCAAAACCGGGTGGCATTTCAGTGTCTGAAACTTTGTTTCCTGAATACGATCTCCTTCTGAATGCATCATTTCTGTCCGTTCTATCGCATCCTGGCGCTCTGGGTGTGTTGGCAGAAGATCCCCATAAACCAAATTCTCTAGAGCTGGTCAGGTTGGTTGGTGCAACACTCTTGGGAGTGCTTGAACACAGACGCCCTCTGCCAGGAGTGGTGCCCGAGCAAAGGGACTCAGTCGGAGACAAAAGTAAGGTCCTATCAGGCCCAACCAATTCTCCATCTCTTGGTGCAGGAGTGATGCTGGAGTTGCTGACTCCTCTTTGCACAAACTCGTCGGTGTGACAAGGAGACAAACCATCACTTGGGACAACACCCGCCTGCTCGCCGAGAATTAGAGTGAATTTCTTCTAGAGGCAAGCTTCATGCCAAGCCTATATGAACACTGAAATTATGCTTGGCAAGTTATAAAAAAAGTCATATATATACATTTTTTTCTAGAAGTATGGGATAATATTGACGATGCATAATATAATATTTGAAAATAAAACTTTACATACCAGGATCATAAAATGCTAGTAAATTCTATGTTATTTAAGCAAGCTGAGACTACCATCATTAATGATAGATCATCAAAGATGGATTTTTGGATTTTTTAGCGGAAAAAAATTTGTCTTAAATTTTATTGGGCAACTCTCCTACCTTGGCACGACTGGAGTGGAAGCCCCGTGACCTGGATGGAGTACCTCCAAAATCAAGCTTTCCACCAGCTCCACTCCGGGTGTTACGGTTAGTGGGGTAAATTCCAGTAGCTTTGTGAGGAGACACATACTTGACAGCCGTTATTCCAAAGGAAGGAGTGCTGGGGTTCTGACACTGCTGTCCGCCCGTAGGAGTATTGGGTAGCACATGGCTAAAAAGTTTATTACGTACATCTTTAAAAAGTCCACATTATTTGCATTGACATGAGTGCATGCTACAGTAATAATATGCAATACATGAGAATAAATAATTTATATACCATCAGTCTTAAAAGAAATTGATAATGATCACAGAGAGTAAAAAAGTCAAGCATAGATGAAAATGGTTAGCATGATAAAATAATAGGCAAAATGAGCCAGTTTAAAGCATTGTGCACAGACATATCATGACTACAAAATGATGTTGAATGGTATATCAACAGTTCTGGTAAAAAACCTACTGTGTTTTTTGCAAAAACACTTCCCTGTATCTCACCTGTTGGCTTGAATCCGCAGAAAGTTCAAAAATAGTTGCACAAACTCTTTCTTCTGCAGTACTGCATCACCGAGTTCAAGTGGACACTGAAAATAAAATGCAAGCATTTATATTGATGAAAATGTGAAATGCTTATTCAAAACAATATTATGCTTGTATGGCTGAAAGTAATAAGTACCAAGACAACCATAAACCTGGTTTATTGACAATGAAAATAAATATCTTCTTGAACTTGAACTTGAACTCGTCGGATGGTTGAGGCCTCAATCAAGGCCTGTTCATCTCTCCAAAGTCGAAGCCAACCCAATTCAATACAGGACCCTAATTCTGGCATTCTGGCTTATATAGTGATGGCAGGTCCCTCCAGTGATGGTCAAGTAAGTTTTTAAAAGAGTTCACAGATGTAGCCGAGACCACACCATCGGGCAGGTCGTTCCACGAGTCAACAATCCTGTGCGAAATGAAGTTTCCTCTCACGTTAAGCCAATATTTGCTCTTATACAGCTTCATGGAGTGACCCCTGAGTCGCGTTGTAGTGGCCTTAATGAACGTTGGGTGCTGAACGCTGTAGTACCCGTGCAGGTATTTGTAAACCTCGATCATGTCGCCGCGCAAGCGTCGGTGTTCCAGACAAGGTAGTTTCAGCAACCGCAGCCTCTCGGGGTAAGGCTTGTCCCTCAGTGAACCCAGGAGCTTCGTTGCTTGCCTTTGCACATCCTCAATGTCGCTGCACAGGGTTTTATGGTATGGTTGCCAGACACAGTGTCCGTACTCCAGCAGCGGACGGACTAGACTTTTATACAGTTGTACAAATGTATGCTCAGTCAGATGGTCAAATGACCTGCGAATTATGCCGACTACCTTGTTTGCTTTGGCGGTGCAATAGGCCACGTGCTCCTTGAAAACCAGCCCATAGTCCATCATCACTCCCAAGTCCCTCTCCACCCCACTTTCCCTCAGTTCAAGCTGCTGTTCCTGTCCCTTTCTCATAAAATATTTTCCTTCCGACTTTTGTACACCCAGCTTGATAACGCTACACTTTTCTGGGTGGAACTTCAGCAGCCATTTGTCAGACCAATCCTGAAGCCGGTCCAAGTCTTCCTGGAGACACACGGTGCCCTCTCTGGTATCAGTTCTAGCAAATAGCTTAGTGTCGTCTGCAAACATGCGCACGTTCGTCTTTACTTGCTGCGGCAGGTCAATAATGTACATGACGAAGAGTATCGGACCAAGAACAGAGCCTTGAGGGACACAGCTGCAGACATCGGCTTCTTCCGACCTGTTTCCATTGACTACAACTGTCTGTTTCCTCCCAGATAAAAAGTCCCTCATCCACTCCAGCACCTTCCCTCTTATCCCAAGTGCTGAAATCATCGCCAGTAGCCGACGATGCAGAACAGAGTCGAATGCTTTCTGGTAATCCATGTAAATTACGTCAACCCTCCCACCCTCGTCGACAACCCTGGTCCAGATGTCCATAACCTCGAGTAGCTGAGTGATGCAGGATCGACCTGGGACAAAACCATGCTGACTTTCGCTAATCAGGTTATTACGCAACAGGTGTTGCAATATTTGTGACCTCACCAACTGTTCCATCACTTTACACATGATACAAGTGAGACTGACAGGTCTATAGTTGCTAGCCAATGCTCTGCTGCCCTTCTTAAAGACCAGTGTAACTGTTGCTTGCTTCCATTCTTTAGGCATTTTTCCATCTGCCAGTGAACGTGCAAACAAAAGTGAAACAGGTTCTGCTAGTTCTCTTGCCGCCGCCGCCAAGATGAGTGAGGGAAAACCATCAGGGCCCGGGGCCTTTCCTGCGTGTAGTCTGCTCAACAACCTGCAAACAGAGGTTCGTGAATATCAAATCCACTATGTTCTCTTTTTCTCTCTTCTCTCTCTCTATATCTCGTTGGTTCCTTCTGATGTTACAGTAAAAAGCAGTCCATGACAGTCCTTAAAAATGACGTAGCTCGGTGTTGGGGTCCCGCCCGACTCACCTCCCTCGACCAGTCAATCTCCGGAAAATTGAAGTCCCCCATTACCATCAGATGCGAAGCGCCTTGTCCAGAAATCTTCCTCATGAGTTCATTCAATTTCTCCGTGTTCTCCGGTGTAGAGTTAGGGCTTCGATAGACTAGGCCTATCAACAGTTTGCTACCATCATGCTGCTTACTCTCCACCAGGATGTATTCCTTGTATTCACTATCAACGGCTTCACAAAGAGAAGGCCCCAACTCAGTCCTCACGTACAAAGCCACTCCTCTTCCTTCGCTGCTCAAGTTATGAAACAACTCAAATCCACCCAACGCCAGCTCACACTCTTCAACAGCAAATCTACTGTTCTTAGGTTTAACCTCGACTATTCCAACAATGTCTGGCTTGTGAATGCCGATCATCGCTTGCATCTCGTTTCGCTTATTCATCATTTGATCGGCATTCGTATACATGCATTTATAGTTGCCAGTAGATTTTTCTTTTCTTTCACTAGAATCACGCGTAAAATTCGGCTCCTTCCCCTTGTTCCATCCATTTACAGTTAAACTACTTTTCAGTGCAAGCAGTCCTATTTGGCGTCCCCTTGTGGGTACCTGCAAACATTCTCTATTTTGCCTCTGCGAAGGATCCAGTTGGCATACTGGTCCCCCGAATTTTGCGACTCCTGCCTCCGCCTCCTCAGTTCCTCAAAAAGTGCCGCTTCATCCACTCTCTCCTTGGGTGTGAGATCCCTGCGCATACCCAATCTAGTGAGGACAAGATCTCCGTTTCCTCCCTGCTCGCCAACCCTTCCGGCAGCCTTTTTTGCTCTATAAAAAGCTGCAACCACCTCATTCCTACTTGCTTCTGAATTGAAAGTTAGGCGCAACGGTCGCACCTTCTCATTCCCAACTGCATAAACTCCCAATCGCCTTAGATCCATAGGGGTCTTCTGCTCCAACTCGATTGCCTTCAGCAGCTGTCCCACTCTTTTCTCATCTTCCTTCCTTCTGTCATCCATTGTTTTCTCTTTGTCCTCACCAAGACCGAAAACGAGAACATTTGTTTTCCTCCTTCCCCTGTCTTCCATTTCTGCTAGTTCCTCCATTGTCGTAGCCCTGATCAAGCTCGCCACCTCATTCTGCTTTCCAGACGCATTGCCAGTCGCGTGCACCAACGAAATTTCTTTTACAGTCTCTATCATTGCAGGTGTAAACTTCCCGCTCGCCATCTCTTCCATCCTGCTGTCCACCTGGGCCACCCGGCTCTCCATCTCTGCAAATTTACCTGACAGCTTCTGCACTTCAGACTCCAGCTCGATAAGGCTTCTAAGAAACTTAGACGCCGGCTTATTACATTGCTTGGAGCAGAAATAGTGGAAAAGTGGGTCAGTTTTTCCAGTATCACAAATTAAGTTGTAGGCTTGGTCATCTATTTGCTCACAGCTACAGTGGTACCATACAAGGCAGATTTCACATTGCAGCGCCTTATCCTTCACCAGAACTCTCCTTGAGCAAATTCCGCATTTGACCGCTCCAGGACCCCTCCCTGCACCACTCCCTCCCTTACCTCCAGCTACAATATCCGCCATCTTCCCCACCTCCACTGCTGTTCACTGACACTTCTCGGACTCAGAAACTTGATGTTCGACTCCAAGGGAACACTTGAAAAGCCGCCTCTTCACTGGCACATAAATCTATCAAGTTATGTGAGGAACAGTTGACGCATTCACTATCTCTTCACTGGAGCATAAACCTGTCCAGTTATGCTAGGAAGAGTTGAGCCAACCAAAGGAATCAGTGGAGTTCAGTCACAGCAGTGACGCTTTGTCAGCACAGCAGTGACGTAAGGGTGACGAGTGTGGGAGTTCCAGCTGCCAAGAGCCAAGTATTTCCACCCTTGCCAGTCACCAGCACAAATCTACAACACTTGTTTGTCACACTCCTAAACGCTAGCAGAAAAACTGAGCATTATCACTTTAGCAACTGTCACTTTAGCAAAACTGAATGAACACTTGTCACAGATCTTAGGGCCGTAGCCCGCTTCTAGGGTGAAGAGGACTCTGTAGGAGATCAGTAAAACGTGGTAAAGGGAACAGTGAAAATTCTTCATTTATCTCAAACATTTTGAAAGAATCATACAGCTATTCTATTGAAAACATTGATTGCGGAAGTATTTTTACATGAAAGATGAAGATTAGCTACAAAAATTGAGTTTTCATATTTTATATATTATTTTATGTGATGACCTAGAAAAATTATTTAGAGTAATATATCAACATTGCATTTTTTTCAATAATTTTCAGTAAATACAAACTCATTCCAATAAGTAAAGAGTGAATATTCTACATAAGTACATTCATATGTTTCAACACATTGACTCTGAAGTAGCACATATGCATACCACAAAAAACGCCTAAAACTCAATATATACCGTACTAGTATATTTGTGAATACCATTGTAAAAATTCCATTTATTTTTTTTAACTTAAGTAGGACGTACCCCTATCATAAGTTTTAGCCAGCCAATGCAATTAAAAAAAAACGAAATCTCGGAATTTGTCCGCAAAAAAAGACTGTCTGGCAACCCTGTATTCGTAATACCTAGTACAAAAAATGAAATAATAGTGCAAGATAAAGCAATCAGAGTCAATGTGTCAAGCAAACAAATGATGTTCATAATTACAAGCATCACTAAGAAGTTACACTAACTCAAAATTCCTTAAAAAGTGTAGGAAATACCTATAGTGGTATATATATCTATAATAGTACCTGCTGCTGAAAAGTTGTAAATGGCAGATATGATTAATAGAATTATTCCAGTCATTGAAATAATCAGAAATATGAGTAGTACTAATGATATCACCTATTCTTTCAAACTACATATATGGCCATACTTCACAGTATGGGTGCACATGGGGCAACAGTGGATTCAGATTGATAATGATTCCTAACATTATTTGTAATGACAGAAATTGTTCACAAGTGTGAAAATAAAAATGAAGATTAATTCAACATTGGAATGCATAGTATCAATGTAGGGTACAATAAGATACTGCCTTACCTCATTTTTTGAAGAATAATCTTCACTCACAATCCAGAGGAATACATTTTCAACTGATATCTTGTTTTCTAGCAAATGCTTGATGATATGGGCCATTTAAGGGGAGTGTCTGGGTGGAAAAAAATTCATTTACTAATGTACTAAATTTTCTGAAATATCAAGCACAAAAACACTAATGCAAAGGCTTTTTTCTTAAGATTTTTTATATATATAAAGTAAAACATGAAAACAGTAGAAAGGGAAACTTTCATCAAATCTAAAATTCATACATGAAGTTCATGATATAAACGTTTAAGATATAGCTAGCAGGAACTTTGGAAGGAAAGTGGCAGTCAGAATGCATCAATTAAATGCTAAAAAGCTTAATTTGTAAAGCAGCCAGCTAACTACAGTGCCAGAAGTGCCATTTGTGCTTGAGGAACAAATTTGATATCAGATGATTATTTGCTAGGTACCTTGGTAATTTCTTTGAAAGCAAATAAGACAAAAGAAATTATTCACATCTAATTAGCACTTCGCTGATGCTGTAATATTTCAAAAAGGGTGCTGAATATGCTAGGTCACATGGGCTTTGCATGGAGCAAATGTTCTATTTCACTGTGAGGAAGGCACCAACAATTCATTTTCTACTTTGGATCTGAAATGATGCATTGTAATTTACAACTTTCACACTTCTGTAGAGCAGTGTGGAATTCTGAATAGGTAATATATTTGATGTTAATATAACAAAATGGATTGAAAGGCCTGCAGGTTACACTGTTCCCATGTCAACCACAGGGGGGATTAACTCATAACCCACTTAAGTGAAGCCTAATTGTGAATTGTCTAATAATGGTGTAAGTAAAGAGTTGCCAAAAGAGTTATGTTTTATTATGGGACTTTAAAATACAACTGACATGCCGATAAATGTACAGAGACAATATTGCTTATAGTGCTTTAGGACTATTGTGACTTATAATGTTTGGTAACTAGTGATATGGAGTAGGGAGCACGGGATGGGCAATGGCACACAAGGTCCTCAGACAGCTGAAAGCTATAAAAATTACAAATGAAAAATATGTGCATGATGTGACTATGATGCTAAACAGGTTATAATCTATCATGCCAAAATTTAGAGATTAACTTGAGGCAATCATGCTATAGCTGAATAATGAGTTCAAACATTTAGTAAATTAAGGATTGATAATTTAGTCTAGTAAGTTAGGTTGCAAGAGTTATTGGTGCAAAAATTATAATTAATAAACACACAAGCAAACAACATTGGCTGTAGATTTGACACAATAATGCAAGTGAAGTTATTTAGGTAAAACAAGGACTGCATCACCACCATGCCTGTGAACACTTTAAATATAAAGTTACCTAAATTATGGTAGGGTTGTCCTTCAGTAATGCAGATAAATAATGCAATGGTTAAAAGAAATGTGGACAGTACAGTATTGAGAAAGACACACATATATATAAATTATCTGGAAGAATGTCACTCACCCAACAGTACTATTGCAGAATTAACTTGATGCATTTAACTGTCTTGGCAGCATTTCAGTTACTTGCATAAACTTGGCTTGAATGGAATTTAATCAATACATCTGTTCTGAAACAATATGAAACAAAAGGATGCATCAGGTATAAAAATTGGATTAATGACACAGATGGCTTGAGTGGCTAAACAGCAATAATGCCTTCTGGCAACAACACTGTTGAGGGTCAGCCTGTCTAAAGGTCGATGGTCCGGCCAGTATAATACCAGCACAGGAAACAAAACAAAAACAAACTCAGGAGATCAAACAGAGGAAGAACCAGGCAAAATGTATTAAATAGAATCAGAGGTACATGAAGGTGAAATATGAAAGTTAGCAGGTTAGTGGAGATGGGACAGCCCAGGGCTATGACTATGAGTGACGGGGTGAACCTAGCATGAGAATATAAATAACCAGCAGCCCTAAGTCCAAACTGGTTTGAAATTCATGTGACTGTGACGTTGGATGCATTCAAGCATTGATTGGATCCTTGTTACTGTGATGATGTAAGCTCTATTTTTTCCAATGAAACAGCTGTGACAGCTTGCAGAGACTTGTCAGTGATGATGATGGACTGAAAGTGGAGGTATGCTGGCCTTTCCAGATTTTTAGGTCATGCTTTCTGTTTTGCAATGTTTACCAGTTAATATATTACCCCTCTGGAATTCCACACTAGTTCTAGTTCTAGTTTTGGTCCAAAACTAGAACTAGAAAATCTGACCAAAACTAGAACTGGGTTCTAGTTTTGGTCAGATTTTGACGTTGATCGGACATTTCATTTTGGTTGTTCAACATTTCAACCTGAAATCAACATTTATTCAACTTTTAAAATTAGTAAACATTCAACATAAGCAATATCGATTATCGATGTTATTTCAACGTTGAAATAAGGTTGTTTTATATCTGTTCTAGTTTTCATCAGTTTTTGACATTGATTTGACATTTAATTTAGGTTGTTCAGCAATTCAACCTTAAATCAACATTGATTCAACGTTCAAAAATTAGTAAAAAATTCAACGTACCAATATTGACCTTATTTCAACGTTGAAATAAGGTTGTTTTACATCCGTTCTAGTTTTGGTCAGATTTTGATGTTGATTAGACATTTAATTTGGGTTGTTCAGCAGTTCAACCAGGGCTGGAACCAGGAAAAGTCCTATTTTTTCTGAAATATCGCAGCTCTAAGCCTCTAAGACTAATATCATACAATTTCAGGAGGTATGAAATTTTATGGCTCTTATGTCATGTATTTTTGTTTTGATTCGAAAAATCGCCGTTTGCACGTCGCAAACATATCATTTCAACATCCAAAATGTTTCCTTGAAGTTTGCGTCGTTTCAACATCCAAAATGTTTCCTTGAAGATTGCATCGTTTCAACATCCAAAATGCTTCCTTGTGGTCATGTCAGACAGTCAGAGTGGTCGGATTGCATATCAATGATATCATGTGTTCAGTTGCCACTAAAGTCAAGAGACAAATGTTAGTGTCAAATAGTGTGTCTGTTTGATGACTGTTTTTAGGGTAAAATTAAAGATTTGGGGTAACATGTGCACAGGACTTTGAAAATAAGTTTCCGGCTCATAAATGGCTTTTCGTGGCCAAAATATGGAATTCATGGCTCGAAGAAATGGAATCGTGGCTAGCAAACCCTGGAACCCATAAAACCACGGCTCAAAAAATACCAGGGTGCAGAGAATGATAAAGATTTGAAAGATCTTCGGAGACGAATTAGCAGACAAATTTACATATCCGAAGATCTTGCCGACGCCATTTACCAATCTTCCCAAAGCTTCGGCGACGCAGCAAAGTGAGCCAACCTTCCAGAAGCTTCGGTGATGCTGCCAATGATGCTTTCTGTGAGGCTACGTTTTCCGCAGAAGCAGAACGGAAGAAAAACAAAAGAACGAAACACCAATGAAGTCTAATGAAGGACTGATTTTGGCAAATAGTACAAAGTTCAGGAGGTTGGAGGGAGTTTTAATTTTGAAGGTTCATAGCCTCAGAGTTATATTAAATTTTGATCCACCTAGGGTCATCCTGAAAGTCTAACCACTACTCTGAGAAAATTTGTACTTGCTACTTAAAATTTACCATGTCCATTTTATTTACCAACTTGAAAAAAATAATAAAATCCATAATTTCCAGTAAAATTTGCATAAAGAGCGGCCATATGAAGCACTGAATTTTCAGCAAAAGAAGCAGGGATTGCGTGAGTCTTTAATTAAACTTTGTAACACGCAACAGACTCTGAAATATTCAATTAAATTACTAACTTTAAGAAGTGTTTGTTCCTTAACAATTTNGAAATCGATGGCCCGCCGACAAACTTAATTATTAATCCTTAATATAATGTCCTTATTTCATGACTTATTATTAATCCTATCAAGTCCTGTCAAAAATATTTACTTGCGTTAAGTGCGGTTGCATCAACTACTGCCTATACAAGGATTATCTGCAACGTTTACCGCGTAATCATATAACATAACATAACATAGTGATGCCGGCGCTGAAGTGTAGGCCTGATGTGGCCTGTCGCCCATTCTTTTCCTTTTCATGCCTTGTTCATAGAAGATCTAAAATCGTGTCATTTGACCGGATCTTTTCATGACTGACGATAGTTTGAAGTAGCTACTAGACTTCCAACGGGTTTGATATATATGATATATCGTACTCATTTATTAGAAAGTCACAGTAGAGTGATCATATGATAATTTATTTACATAATTATTACCAGAATTATGATATATTATCATAAATTATTATTAGAATTATCAGAAATTATTCTGAATCAAATTTGATTCCGCCGGAACACTGGTGTTACTATCATGGAAAAAATATTGAAGGATATGCAAATAATGCAGTGAACGTTAAATTGCATCATCGCGAACACCGGGCTTGGCGGTATCGTTTCTTGCTCACCAACTCCAAGATGAAATAGTTTAATCTGTATTTCAAACGTATAAGAAATTTTATCTTCTACTAATATTTACTAAATAGTTTACCATCTATTCACTACTAATTAAATGGTTCACCTTCTCTCTACTACTAAAGTACTAATAAAATTTAGATTTGATTGGAATTGGAATTGGGGTGCGTGGTGACCTACGGTCACGACCTTTAAATTGGTCATACACGCTGCCTAAAAAACTTTTACTAGCATCAAAAAATTAAAAGTTCACACTCTTATGTTAACAAAAAAGTTCAAATATACCATATTCACAGCTGTCCTAAGAAAAAATATAAAAAATTTGACAATCGCAAAAAATTAAAGCCACGTACTAAAACAATTCGGCACGTTCACACGTCTTCCCACCCTCCCCTCTCTCAACCCTCCATTCCTCAAGACCCCACTTACAACATCATCCTCCTCTCCCTCATCATCCACGCGTTTTCCAAATATCTCTTCACACTCTCAAACATAGCTGCAGTTGCTCCCTCAGACAGACCCGTAATTATCGCCATCCACTCTTCGCTTGTTCTCTCATGCCCCACCTCGTTAGTCTCACCTATCTCATTCAGAATCACTTCAATCATAGACTGACGCTCTCTCTCATACGCCCCACATTCCATCAACAAGTGCTCTACAGTTTCCTTCTCATCCCCATCACACATAAAACATTTATCTTCTCTCCTTTCATTCCACCTGTATGTACGTCCATTCACACCTAGCGCGCCTGCCCTAACACAAA